CGGGGGGACACGTCCCGCAACCCCGCGCGTCCGCACCCGGGGCGCCGAGGGGGATCGCGGCGTGAGCCGAGCCGCAGCACCCCTCCGCCAACACCCACCTGGCCGCCTCGGCCCCCGCCCTCCCTCACGCCGGCTCCGGCTCCTTTTGTTCGCCCCTAAACCGCACCGCGGCGGCCCCACCCCGGAACTGACCTCACCCGCCCGGCATGGCGGCCATCAGCCCGTCCCGCCGGCGAGGAGCGAAGGAGGGTGCCGCCATCTTGGGAGCGGGCACGCCGAGAAGGGCACGCGGCCATCTTTGTGCAGGGCGCGGCCCGCCAGGGTGAGCGGGCGGCATTCATGGCGGCCGGGGGATAACGAAGGGAGGGAGAGGAAAGTGAGGGCGGGAGCGCCATCTTGGTAAAGGGCAGCGCGCAAACCTGTGGGCGTCTTAAAGGGGCCGCCACAATTCCAGCCTCAGCGCTGGGCAGGCGAAGGAGAAGGTGGCAGGACAGCAGGACTTCGGAGTAGAGAATTGATTCTTTCTGTCCGAAAAAAAAATAATGTTTGCTCTTTATTAAGATTTATGACCCAATCATGATGGAGCCTTCTATCATTATTTCATATAATGTAATTCTATGTAGAGCAACTCAGTCTTGCAGCCTGTGGCGCTGAGGGACAGCAGCCTCAGCCTCTCAGAAAGAAGGGAGGAAAGCCAGGACTGCCAAGGACCTCTTCAGGCCCTGATTCAGGCTGGTGTCACTGCTGTGAAAACACAGAAGAGTGAAAAAGGATAGCTGCCTTGCCCTGACACCACGTTATTTCAGTTTTAGCCCCTCGGCGTGGTTCAAGCCATCCAGAGCCCTCAGGAGTGTCTGCTCAGCTGTCTGGGCCAGCTGTGCATCACCTCCAGGCTCACAGACAAAAAGGAGGCTGTGTCTTTCCTTGTCAGGGCCCTATCTCCTCTCAGGTGACATTAAAACCTTTTCTTAGCTCCTAAATATTTAAAATCAGCTTCATCTGCCTCACTCTGTGGCTGTGCCCTGTGTGGCAGAAGGAATGGTACATAATCCAGGCCCAACGACCCAGTCCTCTCACACACCCATACCAGTGCAAAAACTTTGATGCATGCCCAGTTCCCATCCTTCAAATCACCGAGCAATAACTGAGGCCACAGACGTTGTCTGTATATAGAGACCAGGGACACAGGGTCCAGACTGGTGGAGAAAAACTGATGCAGATCTCACTGGATGGCTCAGATAAAAAATAGTGGATACAACTAGTATCAACATTAAGGCTAGTTAACAATAAGATAACAAAAATAATTAAAATTTCAGCGTTTATGACTTTTTCCTTAAGAACCAACCTATGTGACATTTCTAAAGTGGAATATTTTGAAAACCCCGTTCCATTTCTCTAACAACAGCTCATTGAACTAAGGCCACTGAAAAATGCTTGCAGCAGGAATAGTAACCCTGGTGTGTTACAAGGATATATCCACAGTCATTTTGTGGTACCTGAAAAAAGCAGGCTGATTCACTCATGGTTATTTTCATTTGGCTGACTCATTGGAGGACACTGGGCAGCATCATTTTATTTAAAATTCATAAAGGATGGTTCAAAGGCATTCATTATAATTTCATTAGTGTACAAGAGGCAGTTCTGAGTGGTTAAGTGCAGCCAATTTTAACTTGTATACACCAGTGATCACTGCTATAGTAAAACAAGCATATCTGTGGCTTTCTAGGAACATTATATGTCTTAGCATTGTTCTGTAGACATATGCACAGGACCTGTACCCAAGGAGCTATGATCCCACCTGCCAGGGGACAGACACTCACCAGCCCAGTGCAATAGCTGGATTTTTATTTTTTTTTAAAAGGTAATTAAGAAGAATTGTTCATGTCCAGATGCACTTGTTAAACTAAAACAACCTGAAGAAAGACAGGGTCCTAACTTTCCTTGAGTTTTACAGCACAAACTCCAAGGTCAGATGTGTCCTCTTCCTTGCTGGCTGCGTACATATTATCTAGCAATTTCTGCTGAATTTTAAGGCAAAGTTACATGTTACTTGAAACAATATAAAGGCCAAATCCTGCTAAAAAAGGTGAGGGCTCATGCTCCTGTCCATCCCTTCTCTTCCCCATTCCTCTCTGCTCTGGTCTCTACCCAGATCTCTATTTCCCTGCAGTGCCTTAACACTCACACCCATCCTTCCTTGATCTGGTTCAACTCACAGACATTACAGAAAACGCTCTGATTTTCTTCAAAAGGCTGACTTTTTGCTAATTTAGCAAGTCAAGTAAGCTCAGCCCATGGGCAAACAACAACCAGGGAAGGTGCAAGGCTGGCAGAGGAGAGGGCAAAGAAAGCATAGCAAAGGCAGCAGGAGAGGATAAAATGGCACCGAGCCATTAGATGGCTCACAATGTGCTGTGTACATTCTTATAGAAGCAAACCACAAGTTTTTCTTCCATCTGTTTGTTTCAGTGTTTGGAGTTAAAACAGAAGTTTAGAAAACAAAGAGTTTGCATCTGCCTGCACAGACATTCCCTCCTGTTTAGTCATGGCAGGGATGCTGTGAGCCCAGCAGCCAGACATCGGGTTGGGATTGGGAATCTTTGGCATAGCAGACACCAGCTGCTTCCTTTCCCTTGGCTCACTTTTTCCTACTGTGAAAGGGAGACAGCAATTACTCACTCGGGAGACCTACACGACCTGATTCATCGGTGCATGTCAAGCCTTGTCACAAAAGGAAGAGGGAAGCCAAGAGAGGACAATTTTCTCTCTACACCTCATTGCAGCAATTGACACCTCTCAAACAGCTGATGAAGAGTTCAGCTCCTGCATCCATGCACTGAAATTCTCCTCCGAGGCTGCTCTGTGTCTCCCTGCCCATCCACAGCCCAGGGGTCTGACAGTGCTGCAGGATCCTGCTTTAGGTGGTATTGTGGACCCTCTGATGAACCCAAAGCTGATGCCTGCACCTTCTGTACCTGTGATCTGTTCTTTTCTCTAATAATATCAAGCCTGCAGGGTGAAATTTTTGAGAGTGTCTGACTGATTTAAAAATTAATTTTTCAAAATGACTGAAGGCTTCACTCAAAGGGAAATTCCCTGCCATTGCCACGCCAAAGTAATTATAGCCATACCACAAAAATTATCCTGCTATAATTATGCCAGTATGAGCCTCCATCTGAACAATATGCTGACATATTTTCCCAGGCAGCCCAAATCATCTGGCAGCTCTGTCTCCAAGCCTCCCGGAGGAAGGGTCCTGCTCCCAAAAAGCCCTCTCCTCCCTCACCCTGGTGATTTAGAGAGCGACCCGAGATCTCCTTGTCCCCGGTACGATTTTCCCTGTCCGAGTGTTGCAGCTCGACTCCTGCCTTCCTGCAGCCCCCCCGACTCCTCCCAGGAAGTCCCAGCTGCAGGGAGTCGAGGAGAGGGCAGCATGTGTGCGAAGGCAGCCTGGGCGGTTCTGCCAGACTTTGGCAGCATAAGACAGCGTGGCCCAGCTTGATGTAAGTCGGTTTTACCCCCCCCACCCCTTCTGGGAGCTGTCTTGCACCTCCGTGTATGCGCTTGCTGGCTGTTGCTGCTGCCTGTGCTCCCGCTGTGGCGTTGCACCCCCTGGTGTGACGGATTCAGGGGCACCCTTGTCCCCAGAGCCCTTTGGGTGCACCTGCGAGTGGCCAGGCTGGCCAGCACTGTGGAGGTGTTTGAGGAGCACAGGGACAGTGGAGACGGCTGGTGCCCGTGGGCTGGAGGGCAGGAGGTGGTGAGTGACCAGACCTCACGGTGACCTTTCAGCTGTCACCTCCAATATCCTTAGTGTGCTCCTTCCTGCGCACCCCGCCAGGGCGAGAGGTGCCCCAGCTCTCTTGCAGGGAGTGTATGTACAGCACAGCCTGAAAAGCCCAACCACGTAAGAGGCTCCTTGAGCCTTTCCCAGGCTTTTGGACTCTCTGGTGGCTGCCCCTGCTCCAAAACATTGTCCAGGGCTGGGGAGGTGAGGCAGAGCCCTCTGCCCTACCCCCAGACGGCTGCTCCCACTGTCAGCAGCACCCTGACCCTGCTGCTGCCTCTAGCTCTTTGCAGGAGCCTTGTGTACAGCTCTTACACCAGCTTCCTGTAATCCAGTGAAGCCCTTTTTACTGCCACACTTTTGTTTTGTCACCTGCAGGTTAGCCCCCTCTTCCCAGTACTCATTCGCTTTGCATCCCAAAGCAGTGTCCCCCCACATCTCAGTGGCTGCCCCCGACATGCAGCCATCCCGTGCACAGGGATGAGGTGCATAATTTGCAGTTCCAAGCAGTAGTATGCTGTGGCTTCCCATTTTTCCATAAATTGTGCTGGTTTTTTCCCACCTGGGCAGAGATGTAAAATCTCACTGGTCTCAGCTAGCAGCCACTTTGCACTTGTTTTAGAAATAACACAAAATGCAAACAGTGGGGACTGACATCCTGCATGTAAGGGTGGAAAGTGCATCTAGCAGTACTGAGAACTTACCTGTGGGCTGGCCAACTTCAAACCTGTTTTGGTTTTTGGCAGCTGGGTGAATGAATCCATGGCTGGTCAAAAGAAAGGTGCATGCATCCTCCAGACTCACTGCTTTTATCTCAAGTACCTAACAAAACATTAACTTACTTTAGCTTCAATGCCATGTTTAAGCAATGCTGTAGAATAGTTGAGGGGACCTGAGGTGAGGGAACAGGCTGCATGAGGCACAGAAATTAATTTGTATGGGGCCTTGAAGGAAAAGTAAAGACCAAAATCACTTTGAAGATGGAAGCTGACATCTTGTTAATAAGAATAAAATTTGTGATTAAACAGCCTGGAGTTGCAGCAGCTGAGAGGCCAGAGATTTTAAAAAATAGCAGCACTCTGTCTTTGATTTCTTTTTTTTTTTTTTTTGGTAACCTTAAGAACATGAAGGAAGAGGAAGGGGTGAGTTTGTGTGGGGTAGGTCTGTCCAGCCCCTTGTTTCATTTGCCAGCCCCAGGAGGCAGAGTGTCCAAACAGCCTTGCCAAGCACAGCCGCATCACGAGGAAGGTGCAGGTGCTGCAGGGGAGGAAGGGCAGAGCCAAGAGAGACCTGGGATCAGTGAAACTGGATGGGAAGTTGATACTGAACACCAAGGTGCACTCTCAATGGTGTCTGTACTGCTCTCCCCAGCACAGAGGAAAGGGTGGAGCCTGGAACTGGGGAGAGAGGAGGCAGAAGCCGTGGTTGCCCTTGTGATCCCGACTTTGTGTGTGTCACGGACACAAAGTACAGTCCCAGTGCTGTTTCACATGGCAGCGACAACACACAAAGCAGCTCGTTTCCCCTTTTCCTTTCTCTGGCAGAATAACCCCATCTTTGGCCCTGGACCTGCCTCATCCCCAGGTACATGGAGCATTTGCTTTATACCTGAAGCTGTGGAGCGATTGTCTCACCCCTCTGTTTTGTGTCTGGGGGAAATGCAGGTCTGTGCCCGTAGGAGTGAGACAGCGGGAGCTGTGGCATGCTCAGGAGAGTGGGACCGTCTCTGCGTCACTTCTTGCTGGAGAGGAAGAGCAGCGCTGGATATAGCTCGTATTCCAGTGAGGTATTGAATGCCCAGCGGGGCTGTTTCTGGCCGGCAGCCTGGGCCCTGGCTGAGGCTGCCGTGGTGTGGAGCCCAGGTGGGTCACTGCCCAGGAGCTGGCCTTGGCAGCGACCACAGATAGGGCACATCAGGAAAAGCCACACTGGTGCAATCTCCTCTGTGCTCGCTTACTTCCAGGTAACCTGTTTAAGGGGAACATCTCATAAGCAAGAGAATATTCTTCATACAGAAGAAAGCTCATTGTTTGTGGGGTTGCCTCGTCTGGTGGGCTCTTCTACTAAAGCCTCTTGGGTTGCAAAGTACTTGGGAAATATCAACATCCCTCTTGGAAATACAAACATGCAGAGCAAGGAAATGACGTGCGGCGGGGAGTCAGTGGTGGAAGGTTGTGGCCACCTAAGTCATCTACATATGCACTCAACTATCCTGTCTGGCTGCCAGACAAATTGCAACTGGAGAAACGCATTGTTTGGTTTGGGGAACAGAACAGGCTGAAACAGATTTGGGGGCTGCTTGGCCCCAAGCCCGTGTTGCTCTCCGGCCTGATGAGCAGCCGCCCATGGCAGCATCGTGCAGGCTGGGGATGGGATGGGGGGGACACCAAAAGAAGAAAACATTTGTTGTTTCCCTGCCTGAAAGGGCTGGAGCAGACAAGGCCTTTAATTTCTAAGCTTAAAGCACCTTCTTCCCACTGACCCCCATCGCACTTGCTGATGCTGTCAGATTCTCTGAACTGTGGCCAGCAGCAGCCCCGCTGCACAAGAACAGTGCTGGAGCTGTTAATACTTCACTCCAGCTATCTTTTACTTCCCAAGCCACCAACCCTTCTACTCCCACCAAAATCAACTCAGGCACTGCATCTTGCTGATGATAATATCCATGAACTTGTGCAGAAGGACAAAGCAGGGGTCTGAGGAGCAGGCTTCTCCTAGGCCTGGGGAAGCAGCAACTTCTGCTCACCCTTGGCTACCTGCCCGGCACCACAGGAGAGCACAGAGTCCACCCTGTGCCCTCTGAAACACAGGGCTCCTCAGCAAGTTATTTGCAAAGATCCCTAGTGAGGCCTGAAGCTGTATAAAAATATAAAGACCTTAACAAAAAAATATAATTGGGGCACTTCTCAAATTCTGGTGCAGCCTTCCAGGAACGGCAGAGGTGAGCAGGTGAGTGGAGAATTACCACTGCGGCCAAGCCTGGGGAGCGGGGCTGATCTTGTATCCCCACCACCATCCCAGCACGCACTGCACAGACCCTCTCCCCTCACATCCCAGCTCAACACCTCACTTCTCAGCTGCTTTCACATGCCCTCCTCGTCCCTCTTCAAATGTATTTTATTTGTTGTGGTGGCGATTGTTTTCTTGGTTCGGTGCTTCAGAGACGCCCTCCTCACATCCCTGCACTGGCTTTTCTTGGTGCACTGAGAATCGTTTGTCACCAGTTTCCAGTCCCTTCACTGTCTGGTTAGTTACCTTTTCCCTGTGCTGTCAAGTTACTAAATTCTGCCTCTGCTTTTCACCATCCTCATGATAAATTCCCCATCAAGCACATCTGACTTTCTCCCACTGTGCTTATCCAGCTGGAAGGAGGATTTTGCTCTCAGTTTCCTACTGTCCTTCCCACTCCCCCTAGCCATGATGCATGTGGAAATTAGACACCAGTCAGGCAACTGGTGCCTTGGTGTCTCCATAAATCACTGATGTGTGCTGTGCCCCTCTCTTGCCTCTACCCAGTTGCTGCCTGGTTTTGCCATGAACTTTAGGTGAAAAAAACAGCATATTGCTTAGGATATAAAGCGACTCCCTCCCCCAAGCACTCCAGCAGGACAAAGGGGTAAATACTTCTGCTACTCCATAGAGCTGTGTGGAATAAAAAAGTTTCTTCTTCTAGGAATAGGGGATATTTTGTGGCCTGCAGAGCACAAGATTGTCCTTCCACAGGAGGATCAGAGAGGCTGTGGAAGGCAAAAGCCTGAGGTGTGGGGTCATTGGCTTGGCTGTTACAGCTTGGCTGAGCTCACTTGACCCCATGATTTATTCCAACTGAAAATTAGGTTTAAGGCATTGCCAGCTCCCCAGTGGGTGTACACGTGCTTCTTTTGTTCCTCTGTTTTCTCAGTTCTTGTTGAAACTTGTAAATGAAACGTCCTCCTCTGCCAGGTCTCATCTACTTCATCTTTCATAAAAAGTGTGTGAAGCTTTTTCCAGAAACCAATGCAACAGTGTTACTGCTCTAAGGTCAGTCAGCAACAACCCATGAAGCAACACTAAAGAGCACATAGTCTTCTGGAAAAACATACCTGGGGATGTCCCCTTCACACATGGCCCCATTGCCATTAGTAGAAGCTTCAAACTCACTTCCTTTCTCTCTCTGCAGGAAAAAATGTCAAGGCCAGTGCAAGCTCGGAGACTGGAGGGAATAGATAAGAATATCTGGTGAGTTAAAAGAATATCTGGTTAACACTGGTAGTAGATGTGGTTTTAGGCAGCCTAACACAGATAGAAACCAGATAGAAACCACGACAGCCACATAGCACAGAGCAGCAGTCTCCCTCAGCTGCTTTGCATTTGTTCAGGAAGCACATCGGGGTAAGATTGTCCCAGGAGACTTTACCCTGGCTCAGTTCTGTACCTGCTGCTCACACTTTACGCCTGTTGCTCACGCTTAATGCGGGAAGGCAAGCGGGAACACCTTGTTTTCCCTCTGCCTGAGTGATCCCAGCAGCACCCAAATCTGAGCCAAGTGGTTGCAGCACACTGGCTGCAGCCTGACATCTGCTTCAAGCCCACCCTAGGGCACTACAAGCAGGGAGGCAGGTGAAGGGATGCTGCAAATGCCATTCCCAGCCTGCCAGACACAGTAGGGCATGGGGAAACTGTGTGCTTGAAAAAGAGTTTTAAATGGGCTTTCCCCAAGGCTCTGCTGTGCTTGGTTTCAAGCTACAACTGCCAATGAACTGGCTGTTGTCGGAGACCTGAGTTCAGCCTGCCCTTCCCTCTGCAGAGGCCTTATGGTGTCTAGCTGTTAAATTTTACAGCACTGATATGAGCTTGAAAACCTCTGAGTCCTCTCCTGCTCAGTGTGGTCTGATCCGAAGCAGTGTGTGGCTTCAGCTGCGACCACACACCCAGACAGCACAATGGCTGTTTCCTTCATAAACAAATTAAAACCAGCCCCCAGTGCAATAGTGCCTCATCCTTGGTTTAATTAAAACAGGTCTGAAATGACCTGTGCTTGGTCCACCTGCGAGCCGTGGGATGGCTCCACAGGAAGGACACCAACCTCACCACTTCCCAGGGGATGCAGAGCCGGTGCCACCGTCCTGCCCGGACCCTCTCTAAATACTTCTCTTTCTCTTCCTTTCTTCTTTCCAGGGTGGAATTTGTAAAACTGGCTGCCACCTACTCCACGGTGAACCTGGGCCAGGGCTTCCCTGATTTCCCCCCACCAGACTTTCTGAAGAAGGCGTTCGTGAGAGCCCTCAGCGGGGAGAACCACATGCTGCACCAGTACACCCGTGGCTTTGTGCGTAGGCAGACCCCCCCCCTCCTTGGCAACACCCCCTTCACTCCCCATTAGCCTTGGCCACTTCAGGGTTCATCAGGCAGCAATAAACAGGGCAAACCACATGAAGCAAATCACGCATCAGCCTGTGCACCCCCTGCCCAGGGCTGTAATGCCCTGCTTCACCAGGGCATTCGAAGCAGCTGGAGTGGAAGATGCCCCACACACTGTTGCAGGGTGCTTGGTTGCCCAGGCCCCTTCCAAGGGCTCATCTGTGTTTTTGGAGGCCACTGCAATCCAATTCCCACCCTCCTCTCACCCCACAGGGCCATCCACCTCTGGTGAAGATCCTAGCCCAGTTTTTTGGGAAGCTGCTTGGACGAGACGTGGATCCTATGACCAATGTGATGGTGACTGTGGGGGCATACCAGGCTCTTTTCTGCTGCTTCCAGGCTTTTGTTGATGAAGGTGATGAGGTAATGCAAGATTTAGGCTTGTTGCACAGGCCACCTTCCTCTGGCAGAGCCCTTCTTTGCTGTTGGTCTGCCAGGGGCAGGTTTTCATTGTCCTTCTGCAGAGCAAGAAAGGTTTTATCCCCATTCTCCAGTATCTGAGCTTCAAAAGGAAAAAAATCTCTGCTGCAGGGCACTGTCTCATTTCTGCATAAGACAAAATAACTCTTTTGCCCTGAGTGATGTTATTCTTCCCTGTTACTGCCCACTGGCAATGCAAATTCTTCATGACAGTAATTCAGGGATTAAAATTTCCTCTCTCTCCCATTGTTCTCTGCACCCAGGGAAGGTCTGAGCAAGGCCAGGAGGGTGCTGACAAATCCCTTTCTTCCAGGTGATAATCATTGAGCCCTTCTTTGACTGCTATGAGCCGATGGTGAAAATGGCTGGTGGGATGCCCGTGTTTGTCCAGCTGAGACCGGTGAGTGGGTCAGAGCAAAGCTGTCAAGGAGGGAGGGGTCGTAACAAAGTGAGTGAAGAGGTGAGTGGTAAGCAAAGTGCAGCGGTAGCAAAGCAAGCCAAGATTCCTTCTGTTCTCTCTAGAAAGCTCCAAAAGATGGACAGTTGATGTCTAGTGCAGACTGGCAGCTGGACCCAGCTGAACTGGCTTCTAAATTCAGTGAACGGACAAAAGCCATCGTCCTGAACTCACCCAACAACCCTCTGGGCAAGGTAATGCCTCTGGCCTTGCTGTGGCTGGCCCTGAAAGCAGCTGGGCTGCTACAGCTCACCCAGCCACATTTGCAGCGTAGCAGCGACTTGACCTTCCTTGCACACAAGGGAAATGGGTGTTGAGGCAGCACTGCACACTGTGGCTCACTCTTTTGGTGTTTTTAAGCCTGGTCTTTTGTGCCAGCAGTGGCTTTGCCCAGTTAGACCACTACAGCCAGATCCTGCCTGCCCTGTCTTGGGAGATGACGCAGGCAGGGTGTGCAGCTTTTGCAGGGAGGGGCACCTTGAGTATTGTGTCCAGTTTTGGGCACCTCAATACAGTAGAGATATCAAGGTGCTGGAGCAAATGCAGGGGAGGGCAATGAAGCTGGTGAAGGGCCTGGAGGATAAATCCTATGAGGAGAGATTGAAGGAGCTGGGAGTGTTTAGTTTGAGGAGGAGAAGGCTGAGGGGAGACCTCATCACTCTCTACAGCTCCCTGAAAGGACACTGTAGAGAGGTTGGTGCTGGTCTCTTCTCACAGGTAATTAGCGATAGAACAAGAGGGAACAGCTTTAAACTGCAACAGGGGAGGTTCAGACTGGACATTAGGAAAAAAATTTTCACAGAAAGAGCGGTCAGAGAGTGGAATAGGCTGCCCAGGTAGGGGGTGGAGTCACCATCCCTGGATGTGTTTAGATCGTTTAGATGAGCTGTTGGGGGGTGTGGAGTAGGGCTGAGGGTTGGACTCGATGATCCCGAGGATCTTTTCCAACCTGAGTGATTCTGTGATTTTCAATGCTCCTGCTGCATCTCTGCTCCACTCCCTGCCTGCTGCAGGTTTTCAGCCGAGAGGAGCTGGAGTTCATTGCAGACCTGTGCGTGAAGCACGACGTCCTGTGCATCAGTGATGAGGTGTACGAGTGGCTGGTCTACGACGGAAAGGAGCACATCCGCATCGGTATGGAGAATTGCTTGGCTTAGCTTGGCTGTACTCTCTGGGTACAGCATCTTCAGGGAAGGAACTGGTGATTTAACTGGGATCCCCTGGCAATTACATTGGCTGCTTGCATGCACAGTTCTACCAGGCATGTGTCCCCATTAGAGGTATTTTGCTGCACTTTAGTCTCAGCCTCCAAACCAGGGCTTAAACTGGAGTCCTGACTTCAGAGCCAGTCAGAGGAAATAGGGAGTTGGCTTCCCAGTGTGAGAATCAGAGCTAAGAGCCCTTTGGCTCCAGGGAAACTGGATTTTTTTCCCACACTTCATAACGCCAGTTTTCTCTGTGTCTCTAGTTTTGGGACATCCATTTCACCATGATTTCAGAGGCCTGTTCTTCCTGTTACAGCAACATGCAATCACCTTGTTGCAAGGTGATGGTGCTTGGCACCTCTGGGAGCCCCTGGGGCTAGGTACAAGCATGTGAAAACACTTATTTCCAAAGAGATGCTCTTGAGAAACCTGGCTGCCTGCTTGGGGTGAGGCTCATTCAGGTGAAAGATATGCTGCAAACACAAGAGGCCACCACGGGTTTATGGTGGGCAAAGAGCTCCCTCTGTAATTAAGAGCTCCCTCATTAATGCAGGCCAGAAGTGAGCACGCTGAGCTCTGCTATCGGTGTTTCTCTCTCGCTTCATTGCCAGCCAGCTTGCAGGGGATGTGGGACCGCACGGTGACCATCGGGAGCGCTGGGAAGAGCTTCAGTGCCACTGGATGGAAGGTGAATTCCCCCGTGCAGTGCTGCGTTGTCTCCCCTCACCACCCCTTGGCTCCAGGGTGTGGGTCCGATCGCATAACACTGGGGACAGCACTGCTGCACAGTCCGCTTTGAGCATCAGGGTCTGAAAGTACCAAAGCTGCTTTACCGTAGCCCTGTCTGGAAAATACAATGAAGCCAGCACAGGCAGATAAAGAGAAGCCCAGCACAGGCAGATAAAGAGAGACTTACCACCTTCCTCCTCCTCTCCTGGCTGCAGGTGGGCTGGACTGTGGGATCCAACCGGCTGCTGCAACACCTCCGTACCGTGCACCAAAACTCAGCGTACCACTGTGCCACAGTGGCCCAGGTAAGGCAGCTCTCTGCAACTGGCCCTGCAATTCCCAACCCCCCGAAGCAGGGGTGACAGAGGGTCCTTCTGCCCATGGCTGACCTGGAAAGCACAGACAGGGTGGTGTGGCACTCTGGAGAGGCTCCTTCCCTTCTCCCTGCAGTTGCCCCATGCTTGGGAGGAAGGGAAGAGTCCAGCCTGCCTGGAAATATTCCTTATTTTGCAATGATAAATCCAAGGGGCCATTTGGAGGGGCTGGAGGCAGAGAGCTTGGCTTGGTGCAATGAGAAATCGCCTCCTGCTCCCTAATCACCTGTGAATTGCATCAGAGCAGACTGGTTCTCAACAAGCCTTGACCATTTTCCCACTGGGTTCCTCTCTCCTCACAGGAGGCCGTAGCTCAGGGTTTCCAGAGGGAGCTTGAGCTCTATGGGAAACCAGAAAGCTACTTCATCCAACTACCCAAGGAGCTGCAGCAGAAGAGAGACTGGCTGGTCCAGAGCCTGGATGCAGTGGGGATGAAACCCATCATCCCTGAGGGCACCTACTTCTTGGTGGCAGACATCTCCGAGTTCAGTGAGTGGTGCAGCTGTGGTTTTGCTCAGGCAGAACTGAGTACGGGGCCCCAGCTTGGAGTGGTACCACTAGCACAGACAGGAACCTGCATAAACCACCACCAAAGCAGGGATGGACAATAGCGTATTTCCCATCCAAGCTCCCAGAGGCCTTGAGTTTAGGGCTTGGCTGAAGCATGGGGCAGCAGAACCCACCTCTGTGCTGCTGTGCTTCTCCTGCAGAATCCGACGTCCCTGATGTCCCCGACTCTGATGAGCCCTACGACTCCAGATTTGCAAAGTGGATGGTCAAGAACAAGGTAAGCGCATCTGGCCCTTTCGGCTGCGTTTGGCCTGGGCGGGTTGGTGCCCTCCTTGGGCTGTGCTCACAGGATACAGCAGCACGACACCACTGCCGGGTGCAGCAGCTCATCAGGGGTGCCTGTCAGCAGCCGGCCTCAACTCTGGCAGCCTCAGATCAAGCAGAGGGAGCAGACAGAGCACCAAGGGCACCTACAAGCCCTTCCATGAGGCTTGTGAGCAAAAGTGGGTGGCTTCACACCAGATCAGAAAGAGCAACCTCAGCTCCGTGTGCTTCCCCTTCTCAGGGACTTGCTGCCATCCCGCTCTCTGCTTTCTACTGTGGGGCCCACAAGAACAACTACAACCATTTCATCCGGTTCTGCTTCGCAAAGGTGAGATATGTGGCAGCATGGAGGAGGGTGAGGTTGGGAGTAATAATGAGAGCTGGTTTAATGAAATAAATACCACAAAGAAATGCATAGAGCCTTGGGGATTAGAGCCTGATGGTGGCATCACATATGGCTCAACCCCCTCCTGCAGACACGTGAGCTGGGTTGGGGGCAGGAGATGTGCCAGTGCCAGCCTAAGCTTTGCCCCATCAGCTTCCCACACTTCTTGGTCAAGGCAGGGAGTCTGCTGGGTGCACGCTGAACTGCAGTGAGGGGAAAGGGGATTTGGCTGGAAGCCACTGACTGAACCCAAGATGTTTATTTAGGAGGAAGCCACACTGAAGGCAGCAAATGACATATTGCAAAAATGGAAACGGGAGAAAACCAGTCCCTGAGCACACTGGAGAGAAAACCTTGGTCCACACCAGCCACAACCATTCTTCCTCCTCTTCCTTTGCTTGGCTACAAACTTCGATGTGTCTTTTTTTTGGTGTGCTTTCAACTACATTTTCTCTCAGATAAATGGTTAAGAGGTTTGCCAGGCCCAGGGTCTGGAGGACACTGTCACTGTGAAATGATTGCACTGTTTCTTGCAAAAAGTGAACCTTCACATGCACTGCCAGTATTCAGCGTTTCTCCTTATGTTTAAAGACTTTGCTAATCAGTTCTGGGATGCATCCAGCAAGACACAAGGTAAGGATGGCTCCAGGGGGCTTTTCCACCACCAAATTCTGAAAAGGTGTTTCAGGACCTACCTTTAGGTCTATGCTGGTGGGTTACTGTCTTGTCTTGCTCCACGTCCCCACTCATGTACCCCAGGGCACAGGGCAGCATTTCCACCAGCATCTGTGTTTGCCACAGGACCGGGCAGTATCACTGCCCCTCAGAAGGTTGATTCCTTGAATCCTGAAATTTACAAACCCAGTGAAATGGTGTTTCCCATAATTAACAATTTTCTTACTGTTTTTTCTTCTGTGCATGTCCAGAAGGTGATCACAAAATCGGTAACTGGTTTCCCCCAGGAAAGAGGCTTTCTTAAATAGTCCAGCTATTGCCAAACCTTCCCTCTGCAGCCCCCAAACTACCCCCGGTGCTTTGTCAGGGCTTGGCAGCATCACCCAGGCTGCAAAACAAAACCTTCAGGCCTTTGACAAGTGCACATGGCAACCAGGAAGGATGGGCACAGTGGCCTCAGGCTGCTCCTGCTGCTGGTGGCCCCCGCAACCCGCCACCCACTGGGCTGGTGGGGTAACGTGAGTGTTTTGAAAGATAATTCTTGATTTCAACCTGGGTAAGAATGTAATCCAGCATCAATCCTGCAGGAGTTATGTGTAACAGACTGTGCAATAAGTATTTGTGGCAGTTAAATTATTAAAGATGAATTATTGCAATTATTGAAGAGTAAACATCTCTAATGATTAGAGCTGACACAGCTCTGCTGGAGAGCTGCCATCACCCATACAACATCTGCAGTGTGTCCTGCGGTGGTGGCTGCTCGTCGGGTGGTGGCTCTGCAGGTTTTCTGTATCAGGCAGCAGCTGATGGCACCGATCCCCTCGGAGCCAGAGCCGCACCCGCCCGCGGGAGGGAGGCAAACACCCCCCTCCTGCCTTCACCTAGGGGAGACGGGCCCCATCTCACCTGCCTGCGCCGCCTGGGTGGGTGAGGGTGCTGCTGGAGGTCCTTTTGCACCCACACACGTGCTGAGCGCTGGGAGAGCTGCAGTCACTGAAACAGATAAGCACTGCGGGACCAGATAGTTAACATAAAGAATTGCACCACCCCCACGCACGTGGGCTCTTGCTTGAGGCCATGACACACCCCACAGGGACGCAGAGCTTGGGCGAAGCCACCCAGACGCGGGTGTGCGGATTTTACACCGCCCACCCCCCGGAGAAACGGCCCCGGGGACCGGCCCCGCGCCGCCGCGTGAACACGGCCC